TGTGGTTCTAGGACAAATTCTTCAAACCTTTCATAGGCCAGCTGTTCCCATCCCCCAGGTTGAGACAGAGGGCGTGAGGAGAGGGAGGCCTGGGATGCAGAGAAGCTGTAGGATAAGTGGAAAGGGGCTGGCTACCCAGAGTCCTGGGTGCAGACAGGGTGAGTGACAACCCAGGCACTGCACACCTTATCTCTCAGCCCTTTCCTCAGACAAGTGCCTTAGTTGTCAGTGTCTCAGCTTCCTCACAGTGCAGTGGGCACAACGGGCTGTATAGTCTAAGCAGAAAGGATGGTGGTAGTCAGAGAAATTGGCCGTGGAAAGTGTGAGTACCTGGTTTGCATTGCAAACATTCCAACCGCCCACCCAGTCCTGTGTTTGCCTCTTGTCAAGACCTGGCTTCAATAGGAAGGTATACTATGCTGAGAGGGAAACAGCAGAAAGACAGGACAGAGAGGGATGGGAGACTGGGGAAGGAGAGAGGGAGAGAAAGCAGCTATAGTGCAAAATGTATGACTACCTAGTGAGGCCAGCCAGCAAATGGACACTAGGTCCTGCCTTGCTTCTTCCAAGAGTACAGCCCCTAATCAATCCATCTGGGTCTCCTGGGGACTATGAGGTAACCCCTGTCAACTTCCTATGGGGCAAATGGGAGGCAGTTGTCAGGAGGAGGGACCCATAGTGCTGACTGCCAGAAGCCAGGCCATGATGGACTATGGAGGATGCAGGGTAAGGCCCTAAGATAGGATAGGATAGGGACCCTTCTGCTCCCGGAGTTTACGGAGGGACCAGCCACACACTCTGGCAACACTCTCAGTCCACAAACATAGAGCGGCTGGGCAGAGCAGAGCTCCAGCAAGGCTGCTCCTGCCTCTTTCAGAGGGTGCAAGCTTGTCCCAGGGGACAGCAGGCTCCATACTTCCAACCTCCAAACTCATTCTTTACCTGGAACTATTCCAGGACAGGACAAACCCACCCCCACTGCCTGAAGACGTCAGTCTCAGGGACACTGCGTTCTGTGACCCTGCAGCCGACCCCATCAGGGCCACATCTATCCTATAAAAGCTGCTGCTGGCTGGGACTAAAGCCCAGTTGGTAGAGTGCTTGCCCAGCATGTAAGGAGCTCTGGTACATGCCTGATCCTAGCACTCAGGCTGGGGAGGGGAAGACCTGTTCAAGACCATCCTTGGGTGCTTGCTTCAGCAGCACACACACTAAAATTGGAACAATACAGGGGAGATTAGCATGGGCCCTGCGCAGGGATAATACAAAAATTCACTATTTTTAATAGTGTCCTAAATTTTTAATAAAAGTATGTGCCTTACAAAAGAGAATTTTAAAAGAAAACACTTGTCAATATAGTGAGTTCCAGGCCAGCCTAGCCCACTTGAGACCTAGCTTCCAAAACAAAAGGAAACCCAAAACCCAAAACCAAAATCCAGCTGGCCCTGATAATGCTGGCAGATGCCAGTTGGGTCCAGTCTCATCCCTATGGCAACAGCCCCTCCCTTGATGAAGACTTCCCGACTGGTTTTCCAATACAGTGTCTCTCCTTCCTTCCTTGGACTTCATTGTGGATTTTTCCCCTGACATCTGTCAAATTATTTACAATAAAAGACACATTCAGAGTTGGACCAACAAGATAGAAATAACCCGCAGAGGGAAAGGAGAGCACCGGCCACACTGACAGACAGAGCATGTGTTCACAAACCTCACCAGGGAGAGCGCGAGTTAGCTGGAGATTCCATTCCACGAGAAAAGACCCAGTGCAAAACCCGGAGAACATACTGAGCAAAGAGTTCAGATCATAAAGGCATTCTAGTGGCAGGTCTCTGGGAGTGACTGAGGTTCCTACTCAGGGCGCTTCACATGGCGTGGTGGGAATGGGGACAGAGAGGAGAGACAACCAAGCTTGGAGCAGGATATCAGGATAGTGACAGGATCTCTAAAGGCAGAGGCTCTAGCTTGTCCCTGAGGCTGAGTGTCCCATGTCACCTGGAGCTAAGCTCCTGCCTACAGTCAGGACAGGGGTCCTGCAGGTGTGTGTGGGGGGGCAGCCACCTGCCATCAGCCCAACACTAGCAGGATGGATCCAACCTGCCACTGTCTTAGAGAATTTAGCATAGATTAACAACCTCCTTCTGGAGCTGGAGAACTAGCTCAGAAGTCAAGAACATTTGTTGCTCTTGTAGAGGACGAGGGTTCAGTTCCTGGTGGCATCCATCCACATAGTGGATCATGACCATTCCTAACTTCAGTTCTCAGGGATCTGATGCCTTCTTCTGCCCTCCTTGGCACTGCACACACGAGGTACAGGGACATACGTGTAAATGAAACATCCATACATATACATTTAAAATAAATAAACCTAAACAAAAAAGTAAAGCAAAACAGATAAACAAGCCCTCTCCTCAACACAAACCTAAAATCAAACAACTCCCTCGGGGGAGAACACTCCTGCACGAGTAACTGTAGTGTAGGGAGGCAAGGCTCAGGTGAGCAAGGCCGCCTCTGTGAAGTCCTCAGAGCAGAGGGCGGGGCACTCAGCTCCCCTCATTGTTCAGGTGGACATGGAGGTGTCTGTGTGTACAAAGTGCCTAAGAGAGAGATTGAGGCAGGGACCTGAGAGGATCAAATACACCCCCAAATATGCTACTTGGACATAGGACTTTTATTGTTTTGTTTTTTGTTTTTGTTTTTTTTCTAGATAGGGCTTCATTGTGTAGTCCTGGAACTCTCTCTGTAGACCAGGCTGGCCTAGAACTAAGAGAACCCCCCCCGCCTCTGCTTCTTGAATGCTGGGATTAAAAGTGTGTGCTGTGCCACCACACCCAGCTGTCATAGGATTATTTTGAGTTAAAGGCAACAGAGAAATAGCAGACACCAGGAGCAACTTGCTGCTGCCCCATGTATGGAAAAGCAGGTCACACATCTCCCTCCGTAAAGAAGACTTGAACCAGGTCCTTTGGCTCATGCCTGTAATCCCAGCCTTAAGAGACTGAGGAAGGAGGGTTGCTATGAGTTCAAAACTGGAAGCTAGGCTACAGAAAGCCTTCATCTCAAAAAAGGAAGGGAGAAAAATAAAAAGTAAAAAGTAAATCAAAAAAGAAGAGGAAGAGGAAGAGGAGGAAGAAGAGGAAGAAGAGGAGGAAGGGGAGGAAGAGGAGGAGGAGGAAGAGGAGGAGCCCAATACCATGAATTTGTAAATTTGTGCCAAGAACAGAACAGCAAAGATGTTGGTCTTCAGTCTCAGGTAAAAGCCAAGTTCCAGGCCCAGGGCTACAGTGTGTATGTGTGTGTGTGTGTGTGTGTGTGTGTGTGTGTGTGTGTGTGTGTGT